ATTTATTATTCACAAGCATTGCATTATTGCAATTATCCAGTTAGTAGGATGATATTCAGAGATGTGTTAATGAGAAAATGTTGATCCTGATGGCACAGAGATAAATAGAAGTTCATAGGGAATTTAACAGATAGTTGGCTATTTGGGTTGCCAACTATCTGTTAAATTCCCTATGAACTTCTATTTATCTCTGTGTCATCAGGATCAACATTTTCTCATTAACACATCTCTGAATATCATCCTACTAACTGGATAATTGCAACAATGCAATGCTTGTGGATAATAAATGGTAGGATAAGTTCTATAAGGCTTATTCCTAGGAGTCAATTGCTTGAGATGCAAACGCGTAAAAAATAAATAACAACTTGTATAAATAATAATCTATTGGTTACATAAACCACATTTGATATAAATGAACATTAAGTAAATATTTGTCACATTCTTTACTTATCGAACAACTGACTAAAAATGACCTCTCAAAAATATATTATAGACGTCTTTAAATGATGTTATTATCACGTCAAAATAATCACATCTTTTAAACATCAGTTATTGGTTACATGACGTCTAAGACTGGTAATCATCATTTATCGACGTGAAAATGACGTAACGTTACTGCCTGGGTAACTATGTTAGAACGTAACGCAGTTAGAATTGTTCTTTTTATTTTAAATAATAAGTATGATTAGTGTACTAGAATTTTAAAAACGTTATACAATGAAGATAAAGAAAAAATGAATTTTTTAAAAATGATATTTACCAGCAGTTGTGACAATTGCGAGAGTTGAGATGTAAGATAATGACAAATTGGTTGCATTATACCCATAATTGATTGCTGAGGATGCAAATGGCTTCGTAATGAAGGACAACCAGTGGCTTCACACACGGGAGACGATAATGCCGATGTTCCACGTGATGCAAATATCGTTTCCGTTTCGCTTACATTCAACGCAGAGTTTAACATTCCTACCAGCTGATCCGCTAGCGGTAAGAATAAATTGTAAATATAATGTGACATATGAAAATTTATTAATTATCTAATAATTTAATAAATAGTAGTAAATTTTAACTATGATTATAAATAAATACTATTATGATTGAGATTACCATTAATATAGTGTAAAATTATTGTAAGATCATAAAATCAGTACTATTAGGTAATATTTAATTTTACGTAACAGTAGGTACTTATAATAGTAGATAAATGAGGCAATATGACATTTATCTAATTTTTGTTTAATTATTAAAACTATATTTGTTTCTTAATCATAAATACTTTGGTTAATAGCAGCAAGTATGAGTTCAGCAGGTTCTTTCTCTACAGTTGATGGTTCAGATGCTATGTCTGCTACATGCTCAAAATCTTCTTTAGGGATATTTAATATATCTGCCATCAATAATTGCTTTTCGAGCAGAGCCTGTTTTATTATCTCGTCTTTTCGTCTTAGACATTCTGAAAAGTTCCAAAAGTTTGCATAAATTTTTTTAATGTCAAATCGTATTTTATTTTGCTGAAATCGTAAGTTTTATAATAGACACACGTTAATGCTCTCGTATATAAAATACAAAATTGGATTTATTAAATTAAATATAAAAAATTAAATATATGTATGAAAAAAATATTTTATTCTTTTACACTCTGTATTAATAATTTATGTATTTTATCGTTTTTTTTATAATTATATACTGCTCAAACTTTATAAAAATGTCATTAGTAAATTTTTTCAACTTTCTGTAACCACATTGAGAGTTGAATTAAATTAAATTAAATTAAAAATAATTGAGGAAAAAAGTATAAGTTTCTACCTATTGGTGTAAAAACTGGTTCTGCAATATGTACCGGTGGTACTTCTACGTGAACTTCTAATGGATCTATTAATGAGAACTGAGTACATGTGACCATCCGCAGTGGTTCTGACATACCTATATATTACAAAAAAAGGAAATATTAACAATTATGGAAGTAGTTATTATTTGATTATCTTACTAATAGTAGAAAATATAAATATTGACATTACAGAAGCCATCCTTCATTACCTTGACAATGATATATTTTATATATATTTTATGAAGGAGAATTCTTCAAAAAGTTTTATACCTTGCGTTTATTAATTTTTTTAAAGTTATTAAAAAAAGTTATTAAGAAATTAAAGTTATTTAAAAAGAAGTATTAATAAGGGCGTTTGCTCGCCTATGCCAAAAGATTCCGCGAAAAACATATGGGAAAATTGGTTTCAGTCAAATTGTCTAAAAATTGGATATGTTATAATTTTTAATTTCCTGATCACAAATTTCATAGGTAAGATCTTCGAATATGGACAGATTTTTTTGCAGCACGTATTCGAAAGCGGCAATATCAGATTCAGGCACGCTGAAGACCTATTGATTAGTTCGACATTGCATGTGGAAATATGCGTGTATATTGGTGCGTGCGTGCGTGGATAAGAATCCCACGGGTCGTCACTTAGTATTTCATAATTCTAAATTCGCTCTGCTGACACACATTCACATACACAGCAAAGAGGGTTTAGAATCATTAAATACTATGGGAGTGACAAACTGCAAGGTTCTTATCCCGGCTGATTTACATACACACACGCACATACATGTCTTAAAGAACCCTTAAATTTGATATCTAAATAGATGTCAATGAAACTCTTACATTAGGAGTTATTATTACCCATACAGTATAGATATGAGAATTTGTGGAGGATCCCACACAGCACAAAACATCTCAGCAATGTCTCCAGGATATTACATTTACAATGTTAAATTATATTCTGGAGATAATCTCAGAGATATTCTAGAAATGTATGTCTCTGTAATGTCTTATGTCACCAACTTGTAATATTGTTGAGATATTCTGGAGACATATCTAGGGACATTCTGGAATATTGCTGGGTAATTCTGGAAATATTGAAACCTTATACAAAAAAATAATTTTTATGATATATCTTCAACTCATGTTTATGTTAATTTTAAATAAAATTTAGGTATTTTAATTTATTTCTCACTATTTTTGCACCAAAAAATTTACTCAGTTACTAATCGGAAACTCGAGAACTGCAGATATTTTCGCAAACTCGAGAACTGCAGATATTTTCAGGTTTCTAATGTATCACCTTAGCTGCTGCGCTTCTTCAACTGATACTAAGTGTTTCTTATTATCTTCATATGTAACCAAAGCAGTAATTTTAATTTTTTTATAATATTATTTAGTACAACTACAAAAATAAACTATTTAGTCGAAATATTTAATATAATAAAAGAAAAGTCAGAGATATTCTGTTGACATTTGTACCTCTTTGCGTGCCATGAATAGATCGTTAAAAAAATTTTGTGATATAATCTTTTTTTCAAAAATAATATTTCATGTTTGTTTATTGAAATTTAATGCTAAATAATTAGCCGCATTTCCGTAGAAATGACAACTGAAAACATTCAATACGGTCAGAATAAATTTATAGCGTTCTAATGAATAGGTTTTCGACGATAACTCTTTCATAAGACGCCAATTTGTGAAATATTTTCCACAAGAAGAATTCTACCGAAGTTTCACTATAACCCGTTACCGCGCTCCGTTTTTCGGTGATCCGGACGGTATTGGACAGAATTCTGAAAAGTAGTGCTGAGATCTTGATTGCTGAGAAATATTGTAAAAATATTTGCAAGATTTTATATGAAGACATTATAGAAACGGTTTAAAATATTTTTGATGTATATACCATGTATTTGAAATATTTTGGGCATACGTTAATAAAAAACATACGAGTATTCATTCAAAAATCCTATAAGATTTATACACGTAATTATTTAATAAGTAATTAAATAAGTACGTAAGTATTTAATAAGTAATTTGGTAAAACTTCTGATTAGAGGAGACACCTCGCCGATGACCTTGACCTTCATATATGTTCTCAAGAACATGTCTCTGAGTAACATTTAAAATGTTTTAGGTGATAGCTTCTCTTTATTAAAAAGTTATGAACAAAAGAAGTTTAAAAAATTCGGTATAGATTTTCGACATTTTATGTTAATTACCGTTACGTATTCATAACAAGTACAGTCGTGTAACATAAATACTTTGTTTACTTTCAGTAATTTCTTTCAGTAGTATCGTGACGATCACTAGTGATATATTATGTATTTATTTGTTATGAATTTTTAACTATTTAAATCGACGATGTTATACTCATTGTTTGCTAAAAAGTTATTGAAAAATTTTTTTATAAATGGAATGTAATTTTTGCACATAGTGTATATGGAAATATGGTAAACATTACACGTATATACGCGGAGGAAGGGCTCTGCCTCTCCCTCCACATCTCCTCCCCCCAAAAAATAACCCTAACCCATTAATTGAAATATGGTCAAACGTACACATATATGTGCAATCTATCCTTTACATTTTTATAATTTGTCAATGAAAAACAATATAAGAATACAAATGCATATATTTTAGTGTACAATGTACAAAAATGTCGCAAGCAATTTTGTTATTTTTCATTGACAAATTATACAAGGTGTTCATTTTAAAACTTCCCACCTCAAAATTTTAAAAAATATTTTTCTGCGAAAAAATGTTTAATACAAAAGTTGTAGGGTTTTAAGGGGAACATAAAAGACTGTTTGATCTTGAATGGAGGCTTACGCCAAAGTCAACTTAAATTGTTTAAATAGAACCTCTTACTTTTTATTACATATTCTTGTAGTTTATCTCGAGAACTTCCTAAAACACTATAATAACGTATTTTTTTATTAAGTACTTTTTGAGTAATGAGATTTGAAAGTTACAATTCCGTCGGTATAACCCAAGATGTACCACGCGGAGGTTGCTCGGTCGGATTTACACCTCTTTCGTGTATGTATGTGGTATTGTGTGTGTATGCTGCGTGCGCGCGCATGTGTCCCAGGTACACATGTATGTATAGTAGGCACACATAACAAAACAAAATAACATCAAAATTTGGACAGTTCTGACCAGTAATGACGTGAAGTAATGACGTGAAAATGACGGAATAGTGACGGTCCTAAATCACAGACGTCATATATACTACCACTTAATGACGACATTTTTTTGTTAAATTACAACGATTTATTTATTAGTACAGTTCAGATAATTGATAATATATGATTATTTTATCTAAATAATAAAAAAAACTAGCATTTTTATATTTTGTGCCGTCTTATTTATTACTGAGACTCGCGTAGTTTCAATTCCCTGTTAGGTCATTTTTAAATGACCATGCTGTTCAATGCTTAACTTCAAGGATTGTATGGGAACTGGTGATGCCAATGCGCTGTAACGATATTTTGATGGATTATATTTACAATATATTTTTATATCGTTCAAAAAATGCAATGACATGTTTGTTGGTAAACGTTTCAAACGACGTAACAACAATCACAATGCGATTAATATATAATATATAAGTAATCAAACTTTAACCTATAACATGCTCGCAAAAGAGAGAATATTCCTTCTTTATCTCTCGCAATATTTTGACAAAGTAAGGTTACAGCTAGACTCTTTTCATAAGAATTCTAGTTTTGATTCAATATGTCTTTCATTTGTATTTTTACTTGAGTATCTTTCGCACACTTTTGTTTTTCTGATCACGAGTTGATTAATTCTTTATTGAGTATTTTTATATTTTTGGTAGTAGAGTACTCTACTATTTGGTAGTAAAGTATATACTATGTTATATGATTACATGTTGCACCAAGACTTGTAAAAAGTTTGCAATTTCATATGAAGAAGATATAAATAACATGTTATTTAATATTGACGTAATAATGACTATAGAAGAAGAAGGGCATATTAGGTGGCGGCGAGACGTCGTGCGTTCGGGACCTCCGTCTGTTTTGTTCCGAAAAGAGAAAAATACCGAGAGCGCGGTTTGCTAGGCCGGGACTCGAACCCGGGTCTTTCACCGGGCGACTGCTCTAAATCACTGAGCTACCTGACGCTCCACGCTCACGACATCTCCTCTTGCTAGATGACTTAATGACGCTTAATGATCGCTTAATGACGTAGATCTATTGATTATTAAACAACGTTGAGGACATTAAAAATGACGGCTAAATAACGTCATTTCTATTACGACAATATGTTATAAAAAATATTATGTTTTTTTGACGTCTTTATTTTATCTACTGACGTCATATGACGAAAAATGATCTTAAAATAACGTGATAATTACGACATCTTGCTACTTGGGGTGTATGCATGTACGTATGTGTGTGGGTATAGTACGGGTGTGGGTGTGAGTGTGTATGGGTGTGGATGTATGTGCATGCGCGCGTGTATACGTGCGTGTGCGCATATGGTGGATGAATAGGTAGATGTTTACGATGATAAGTTATGAATCAGATAATGACTGAGGACCGTCACATCACATCCACGCATCCACATATGCATGCACGACGCACACATACACACACATATATACGAAAGAGATGTAAATCCGACTGAGTAACCTCCGTGTGGTACACTTTGAGTAATGCTAATGTCAGTGATACTATGGGTGCTTTCCAATTGCTTAACACATACGTGTTAAGTACTTGACATATACGTACATAGAAATGCACAAAGTGTAACGTTATGCACGATTCAATTGGAACAAAGTGTGTACTAATGTGTATGTATGTTAGGATTATTTTTCAACTATGCTTATATTTTTGTATTTTTTAATAATAAATAATAAAATCTAAATAATAAAAAAGATATTATCCACTTCATGTCGCAAATGCCAGTCTCTTTTCAAGCCGCTACGCTTATTAACTTTAATTTTCACTAGAAAACACTAGTTTACACAGCCGACTAGTAGCCCTCGAGCTGAGTACGGATGTGTAATGTTGTGTCGATGATTACGACAATTAGAATGCAACTTGTGTCGCTATGTGCATGAAAGTGTCTAGGA